ACATTGGTTAGATGTGCTTCTATCAGGGCCACACTTATACAATGCTAATATAGTCTATGAAACAGCAATGGTACAGAAATGAAGAAGTATCACATGAAGCTTATTAAACACAGAGGAGCATGTGAGTGCTTTTTTACCGCAGTAACAAAAGAAAGAATATTTGAATAAATGTCTGTCTGAAGCTATAAGATGAACAAGTGCAAGCTGCATGTTTGTGGCTGGGAATGTCCCCAGCTTTCATGCTCTGCTGAGGAAGCTTTACCCAATACGAGGGCTGGACTGTTTCATCTGTCAGCACCACACCTGGGCGTTCTATTGGTTGGAGAATTTAGACAGAAATCAAAAGAGTCAGAGAGCAGAGCAGGAATCAGACGGTTCACACGTGCACTGAAGCAGCACGAGGAGAGGAGCTGGAGCTGGAGCGCAGGATATCTGTCCTAGCAACAACATATCTGAGTTTAAGTACAAGCGGCACACGTGGAAACTATTTGAGTGCGAGCACAGGGGTAAGTTTAAGTAAAAGCTTTGCAAAATCTGAATGTGAAACCAATAAGTCCTGCTCTCAAGCTGAAGAGTGCCCAACAACAAACAAATGAATCAACTAAAAGAAAAAGAATTCAATTCAGTTGAATCACCAAATCACAACATTACAAGGTCAAGACCTTAAAATTAACCCACCAGTTCCCACAATGAGTTAACACGTTGATGACTGTGAAGAAAAGAAAACTTGTGATGGTATATGATTTTTATTATCATTATTATTTGTCTACTTCCTTATGTGTGTGTTGTTGTTTTTTACCATTTGTTGAAAGGCCATTATTAATGCAAAAAAAATTCTAATTTCCAGTGGGAGCCACATCTTCCGACAGCACTTGAAGGCATCAGGTCTGTGTACCACTACGCTCAGCAGCAGCTCCTCTCTCTCTCTGTCTCTCTCTGTCTCTCTGTCTCTCTCTCTCTCTCCGTCTGTAACCTAAACAATGACTCCTACTACAGACCGGAGGACAGCACGCCAGTAGAATGCGTTACCCAGCACGCAGCCCCTGCGTCTCGCTGCTACACCGACCCCTCGCTTAAATGCGCCCACCGTAAACATGTGGATACCTACTGAGCATGAGAAATACGGCGTCGGTGAGTTGATTCCCTTCATCTCGTGTGTGGATGTGTGTTTTGTTGCAGCCCTGTCCTCTGCCTCCAGTCGCAGGGGCATGTGTTAATTACGCGTAGAGGTGAAGCTGGCTCCGCGACACATGATTCTCACCAGTGGAAACTGTGCGAGTGTTTTCGAAATGTCAGGCAGCATCAGCTTCTTTCTATCTTCCCTTCAGCCCCGTTGATGAGAGCTGGGCATTCAATCTGACTGCCACATTGCAAAGCGTAAAAGGTTGTAGCTGTGACCCCCCCATGGTTTGCAATATGCCACATTCTGATTTATTTGTTTTGCCCCAATCGAGCTTTGTCCTGTTCTTTTTTTGTTGTTGCATCCTCCATGTATCATCCAGTGGGCTGCTTTGACTCTGAAGTGTTGTGTATTTGCTCTTGTTACTGTTTGAATGGGAGAGGAGGGGGGGGGTCATGTGGTCGCGGAGATGCGCTCCCATTGGCGGAGCGCATTTCCCCCCAATAACATGCACTCACCAAATAACAATCCACGGTGCAGGGCCCACNGGGGGGGGGGGGGGGGGGGGGGGTGAAATCAGCTGCTTACCACAGTCAGTCGCTGAATGTCTGTATACACCACCCCCCTCCCCAACCCCTGCTTATTCTCTAAAAGAAAAGCAAATCTGCAAAGACAATGAAAATCTGTATTGATCCTGCTGTATGTTGGGACTGAGATTGCTCCAGAGAGAGTCCTGCAAATGTGTGCATCCACACACTGCATTGTTCCGGGGGCTGTCGGTGGCTTCTGGATCGGTGAAGTGAGACAAACAAGCGACAACAAGGCAGCTGAAGCCAAATAAGCTGGGGAAGGAAAAAAAAACAGAAAAAGAAATCCCACACAGACTTTGTTCTGTTGGTGTGGCAGGAATTCCTCCTTTGCGCTGTCTTTACGCACACAAAAAATAAGGGCTCATTGAGATGCGGCTGCTGAGAGGCGGTTTAAATGTCTCATAATAATATTCCCTAGAGATGTTGGCCTGCTCTGTCAGTGTGTGTGTGTGTGTGTGTGTGTGTGTGATGCTCTGGTCCCTACATGATATAGCAGCCCTGTGAAAACGAGCCAGTAATCATTTTGTAATTTTCTTGCAAGGATGCCAGGAAAAAGTGGCCCGTACAAACCTCCTTAAACTAATAATACTGGTTTTTGATAAGTGTTTAAACCATCTCAATTATACACACCCCCCCCGCTGTTCTCACTTCCCTGTTCGAATCCTGTGCAGTTGCATAATAAGGCTCCTTGGCCCTTTTATAAATGTTCCCTCTAGTCCTAAAAATGCACTAGGTGCCACCTTGCCACTGTGAACTGAAGTCAGTGAGGCACTGCGAAACAGAAACTAGCCTTTGGCCTCTCCTTGTCACACTTGGTCACTTGACTGCTCAGGCTGAAATTTCCCCTGGTCTATAGTTGTTTCCCCTCCATGTCAATGTGCTAAAAACCTGATGTCACTTACTGTGCAGTTATATTACATCACTCTTAATCCTATCCAGAGCTGAGCTCCCTGGAGCTCATAGCTTCCATATTTTGATAGGAAACAATAGATTTCTTCCATTTTGGCCACTTAAACCTGTTTCCCCCTGTCAAAGTTCACTTGGCTGGATAATAGGAGGACATTTATTTTCAAGGCTAAATACTCGCCATTGTCCCTAAACTGCTAGAAGGGGCCCTGTTAATTGGATTAAGGCTCTTTATCCCCTTTCCCCTCCTCAATAACAGCAATAAGACTATTTTAATTGCCTCTGATTTATTTTTTAAGACATGTCTTGGCAGCGCCACACTTCTTTGTGGCCTGTTTTTTTTTTTGAGGAAGGAACTTGGGTGTTTTTCCTTTTGTGAAATTCAGGTTACATGATCTGAAAAAAAACACACACAAAATGGTGAGGGGCTGTTTGGTGGCAAAGGTTAGTTTAAGGTTAAGATAAATTTATGTGCATTTGATCTGTGGTTTTGTTTGTACTGTACATTGTGTTGTGGTTCAGTGCAGTCTTAAAAGACACTATTGAGTGCTTAATGTGGCATCAATAAGATTTGCCCAATCATGTTGGAAGTGAAAAGTGTTCCTAACTGCCACACTTGAAAACGAAGTCAACATTCAGGGATGTAGGGATGGTCTGGGTGTGTTCATATGAGGATAACGTTTGAGAGAGAGAACGTCCAACCATGCTTACATTCTCACTGCATCACACCTCGCTTGTCATGCAGCCATAAAATGTTTTTGGGATTTTTAGTTTTGGAGGGTAACAGAAATGGTCGGATGAAGCCTCGCTACAATTTAGTTGTCGGAACATGTAAGGTACAAAACATTTCCGGTAACCTTGCATATAAATGTTTTTGTATTTGTCAAATCTCGTTTAGTATGGTTATTGCAATTTCTCCAAGGCCAAAAGTATTCCATCAGCGTGTCTTAAAATTGTTCACTTATTTTCCAGGGGTAAAAGATGGCAAAATATTTGTCCTGATAAAATAACCTCACACCAGCATTGATCCCCAGATTTATTCTTATCCTCAGTTATTCTCAGGATGAGTCTCCAAAACAAAAACACTACCTGAAATGGCACCGAGTTACATCACACCTCACTAGAATTAACTTCATTGATCCACATCTGTTTGTACTTTTCAGTGCAGACGAGTTGGCTCCTCCACGAATATCCTCGCTGTAGAAGTGTGACGATGTCTAAATATTAGCATAGTAAGTCCCTACCTTAGCCATTTTAAATGTGATCTCCTCCAGGTGCTTTCAGCGATCATTTTATCCCCTTTTGACAGGGAGGCAGGCAAACTAAAACGGCTTGGATTCCGTGGATCCCTAAACATTTGATCTCGGGCCAAATCGAGATGAGATCCGAATGTCTCGGTGTGTAATTGGAAGGTTGCTGCGTTTGATGTCGATTCGCCTTACTAGCGATGTGAGGCCAGGGGAGGACAGGGGCCTCTGCCATTGATGAAATATGAATGGGCTCTCGTGAGTGGATTTTAAGGCGCCCATTAGCCCACCAGTAGAGTGATTACTGGATTTTGACCTGAAGCAAAAAGGGTGGGAGATTGATGAGATGATGTTAATATCTGATTCCTTAATGGACTTGCTCAGTTTGGGATATGGAGACATTAGATTGAGTTAATGGGGAGAATCTGTTGTATCTGTCATGTTTTTCAAGACAAAGGTGGGTTAAGCTGCAATGAGTCAAGATTCAAAAGACTAAACCTGCTCTGGAAATTCTGAGGAGTGTCTGTATGTTATAATGCAAATGTACAAGACAGTTGATCCAGACATTTTCAGAAACATTTCCTGCCAGCCTCCGATATATATGTCAGGATAACAGGGAGGCGTTATACATGTAGAAGACACCAATGCAGATGTCCAAGAGTTGAGAGCTTTTGGCGATAGCGACCAATGTAGATGTTCTGTCAACAAAAACATGTGAAAACAATGTTGTGGACAATTTCTTGTTCTGTCCCGCACAATGTCCTTCTGCGACAAGACAAACTTTTAGGATGAAATCAGCTCAAGAGGAGGCACAAAATTAGATGATGCAGAAATGAGAAAACAGCATCTCGGATGATGTCTTTCTGTGAGTAGATGATGGGCAATCTGTTGTAAATGTAACCAAAGACAAACAGACTTGGACTCAGCCACTGACAGAAAATACTTGAGGCTGCATTGTGTCATGTTTGAAGACCGTGGACAGACAGAGTGAGGCCTTATTCCTCATTAAGGCCGTTTGATTCAGCCAGTCAAGCATGTCATTGCTCATCATAATTTAGACACATAATTAAAGCATTTTAACGAGCTGGTTTTGATCCATGTGCGTGCAAGTTCAGTTCACTGCCAGAGGTTGATTGGAGAAGCTTGATTTCGTGAGTAACCCTGTTCTATTCTTTGAGCTCTGTGGAAAAGGCAACTAGCTCCATCTGACAGAAGACAGAATGCAGCAACGGCCTGATTGAATGGCCGCGGGGCCGGAGTCGTCCCCAGGCCGGTGTCAGGCCCGGGGCTCTCTGCTTCTCTCCCATGGTTGACATTGCTGGTTCCTCCCTTGGGGGGATGTCGCTACGGTTGATGGAGATTGGAAGGGGTGGGGGTAGTGGGTGGGGAGCGAGCTGGCGCGTGTCATGGGTGGACTCATTCTGGGGGCATCCACCCTGCCCTGTTACCCCCAGATTCCGCCCCCTCCCTTACTCCCCTCCACTCTATAGGGGATTAGCAGGTTGTTTTGGAGGGCCCTGAGGCCCATTCCACCATTATACCCATGATATCCTAATGCAGCAAGCCTGATCTATGGGGGAGAGTGGGGGGTGGGGCAGGGTGAGGCGAAGCCTACCAGCTTGTAATTGCTTCCTCGCCCACCACCTCGTCCCTATCTGCAGAGATAGCACCCCTTCTCCTTTGTGCGCGTGCACGATTTTGCACACATACTCCTCCAGTCGTTCAGCAGGGACGGAGACACTAGGAGGTTCCCTGGTGAATTGAACAGATGCAGTAAATAAAAAAAAAGAAAGAAAGCAGCAGAGTTAATCACCAGTCCCACAAGCTGTTCCCTGGTGTATGCATCATCTAAGGGTTAAATAAATCTACATGGACATGTGACATATGACGGGCTCAGCTAGTGTTTTATTCATGGCTGATTCACCCCAACAATAATAGCAATTGTTACTCAAACATGGTCCGAGACGTGAGGACGGAGTTGGAGCAAAGCCACTGCTGGTTCGTTTGTGTTATTCAATTAAATCATGCTCCATTTATGATGGAGCCCTCAATTATAAAAGAAAACACCAAAAACACTCGACACAGCAGTAATGGAGACAGTCGTGTTACTTCAGTCATGTTTTGTTGAACTGAAAACACATTTTCTATTCACCTCCTTTGAGCTACACACACCAGGGAAACCCTTGCAAATCTCATTGGACACAAACAAACCAATATGCAGTAATTGTGTGTCCACATCCATGTATATTGTTGAGACGGGCAGCTGCA